ATTTTCCCCCCCAAAGCCCCAGTAGATAGTTGTATGTCATAGCTGCACATCCTTCTAGTTGCTGTATGTGGGATGCGGCCCCAGCATGGCCGGAGAAGTGGTGCGTCGGTGCGCGCTCGGGATCCGAACCCGGGCCGCCAGCAGCGGAGCGCATGCACTTAACCACTAAGCCACGGGACCGGCCCTATTCTTCATTCTTATGTCTAACTTAACGCCCGCTCTAGAGTTCAAGCCAGACTCCCATGGCACCGGCGTCTTTGAAGAGAGAACAGTTAGTCAGCAGCTGCTTGGAAAACAGCCTCCTCACCTTGCCACCTGAGGGCTGAGCCCTGACAGGCCCTGAGAGCTTATTTGCTGGCAAGTGGGGATCCAGAGTAGGGCTGGAGCATGCTGAGTATGGAGACCGTCGGGGGCGGCGGCCTGGAGGCTCCAGAGCGGGTGAGGTGCCCTGGCCAGCCAGCAGAAGAGCCTGAGGCTCGAGAGTCATTTGGGGCTTTCATGCTACTTGGAACTGGAGTGACTGAGTGGGTGGCAGGGGTTACGCCACAATCAGTGACTGGCATTGGGGGAGGGCGGGAGCAGGTCACAGGTGGGATGGACTGGGACGTGGGCCCAGGGAAGGTAGGGGAGCAGGGGGGCCGGCAGGAAGGAGTTGGGGGCAGGTAGAAAGGACATGGAGCGGCTCCCTTGGTGACAGAACTTGCTGATAAGTACAGGGTTTCCTTCTTTAGGGTGTAATAATGGCTTCCTGCCTGGGGTTGGGTCCTTTTGCAGTGGTGAGATTTGAGTAGGGTTTCTGAGTTCTTTCAAGTTCTGTAAGTTTGACATACTTGACCCCGGGCAGCATAGCATGTTACCCAGAACTTATTACAGCAGCCTCCATGCCTGCCACAGTGCTCATATCTGGGCTGCCCAGTTAGCTGGGCCCTCCTGGTCCAGAAGGCTGGGGTCCGCATGGTGATTCCCAGCTCAGTTGTGGTGCGTAGGTCGGGGCTGTATGGCAGACGGCGTCTACGGCACAACCTTCCATGCTCGAGAGATCCTGTGAGGTCCTCAGTCAACTCGTGGCTCCCTGGGAACCATGAACACAATTAGGATCACTCCTGTCCTGGGTGAGTGAGAACGTGCATGTTGTTCCAGGTGACTTTCAAGGATGTGGCCGTGGACTTCACCCAGGAGGAGTGGGGCCAGCTGGACTTCCCTCAGAGGGCCCTCTACCGGGATGTGATGCTGGAGAACTACCAGAACCTTCTCGCCCTGGGTAAGCTGGCTCCCCAAGGCTCAGTCTGCAGTCTGGTCATTCTGCCATGCCATAGGTATTACCAAGCCCCCCTTCAGCACCAGCCCTAGTGCTGGGCTCAGCAGGATGCTGGGGTTGTGGTTTCTGCCCCCACACCCTTGTGGCAGGCCTCTGCCGTGTCACCATCATCCTTGTCTGGAGGTGTGGCTGGTCCCAGGTTGGGGCCCAGAGGAGAGGGAGGGGGTCCTGGAAGCCCAGCCTGCCCTGGAGCTTTCCAGGGGAGACGGAGGGGGGTGTCAGTACCTGTGGGGTCCTCAGAGTACATGCCTCAGTTTGAGTTCTGAGTCTGAGATCCCCGTCCCCAGGGATGGCACACACCTTTCAGTGCTGGCCAGTGCTGTTCCTGGGGCTGTTCTGTCTTGTTGGCCAGTTCTGGAGAGCTGCAGCACACACAGCCACACCATTTTCTCCCCACGAGCAGGGCCTCCGGTCTGCAAGCCAGACGTGATCTCCCACCTGGAACGAGGCGAGGAGCCATGGCGGGTACCCAAAGAAGTCCCTGGAGGGGCTTGTCCAGGTGAGCAGGGGACACAGTGGAAGGATGTAGAGCCCTGCCATCTGACGCCCCTCCCCACCACCCTCTGTGACCCTCCCATCACAGCCCTGCTTTCCTTCCACAGTCAACTGCCCCGGCTCCATATGCGCCTGCTTAGTGCCCTTTCTAGAACCTTCCCTTCCTTCCTTCACCACATACATTAAGCACCAACTTTGCGCTGGGAATACAGCAGGGAACAAAACAGGCAAAGACGTCTGCCTTCTGTTGGTGGGAGACAGAAGTTATATCTACGTGTATGGAAACATTCAACAAATGGCGATTGTTAGATGGCGCCAAGAGAAATGAGGGAGGGTCGGGGTGGGGAGTGTTTGTGGAACTGGGGTCAGGGCTTCGCTCCCTGAGAAGAGGGCAGAGTCAGCCTGGGGACCGAGAAAGACAGGGACACGGGACACTGTCTTCCCCATTTCACAGAGGTGGCTCCAAGGAAGACGTGGAACGAAGCTTGCGAGAGGCTTATTTAGCTTTTAAAGAGACGTATATACATCTCAGGGACCAAGAACGCATTTACAATTTCAAGTGTTCTAAAAGAAATGCTGAAGAGAGGTGGGGGAGTTCTTTTCCCCTTCCAGCACCAGGGAAAATTTAAGTTTAATTATTGTTTTTGGACTTGTATTTACCCCGTGTTCACACCCAGCACTTACCCAATTCTGACACACACAGTCGCTCAGTTGATGTCTCCGTGAGGGAATCGTCTCTGCCCACCAGGACCAATTTGCTCTACTCCTTTCCCAGCTCCTGGCTCTTTTCAGAATTCCCTTGGCTTCTCTGGTGGCTCCTGTCCCCCTTCCTGCCCTTCCTTCCTTCTCGCTGGCTTGCTTGCCCTGTCTCACCCTGGGTGCGCTCCCCGTGGCTCTCTGCCTTGGAGCTCTCTAGCTCTGTTGTTCTCTGCTCTCTCTTCTGTGCTTATCTACGTCTCCAGGTCAGATCTCAAATCTGAGTTCCAGTGCCTGCTTACAGAAAATTGCCTTTTCCATTCCTTACAGAATGGGAGCCCAGGCCTGAGACGGAAGAGTCGTCTCAACAGCAGGGCATTCACAAAGAAGAGCCTTCTCAGGAACCCATCAGGGAGCAGCTGGCGGGGTCCAGTCTCCACAGCCCCGGTCTGGGTGATGGGTGGGCCTGGGAGGGCCCAGCAGCTGCTTTGTCGGGAGGTGAGGCTGTGCTCTGGAGGCGAGCGCCTGCCAGCTGTGGGGACATTTTCACGGAGGAGTGCTGGCAGGGACGTGAGGCGTCTGAGAAGGCTTTTCGCCTCAGGTGCACCCTCTTTGCCCAGCAGAGCATTCCTGTAGAAGCAGACTCTCCTGACAGACACATTGACAATTTCCAGTGCAGCAAGGCCGTAACCCAGCACCAGAGAATGTGCACAGGGAGAAACTCTTGCAAGTCCAGTGAACACAGAAAGCATCCACCTGTGAACAGGCAGCGGGGCGCTGGTACCGGGGAGGGTCTTTTTGTGTGCGGCGAATGTGGGAAAGCCTTCCATCAGAGCTCATCCCTCACCCTGCATCAGCGCTGGCACACACGGGAAAAAGCCTACAAGTGTAACGAGTGTGGCAAGGCCTTCACATGGAGCACCAACCTCATCGAGCACCAGAGGATCCACACTGGGGAGAAACCATTCTTTTGTGGGGAGTGTGGGAAAGCCTTCAGCTGTCACTCCTCACTGAATGTGCATCACAGGATTCACACAGGTGAGAGGCCCTACAAGTGCAATGCCTGCGAGAAGGCCTTCAGCTGCAGCTCGCTGCTTAACATGCACCTGAGGGTCCACACTGGGGAGAAGCCCTACAAGTGCGGCGAATGCGGGAAGGCCTTCAACCAGAGGACACACCTGACGCGGCATCACAGAATCCACACGGGAGAGAAGCCTTATAAGTGTGATGAGTGCGGGAAGGCCTTCACTTGCCATTCGTCCCTGACTGTGCATGAGAAAATCCACAAAGGAGACAAGCCGTTTAAATGCAGCGACTGTGAGAAGGCCTTCAATAACCGCTCACGCCTCACCCTCCATCAGAGGATCCACACGGGAGAGAAGCCCTTCAAGTGCAGCGACTGTGGGAAGGGCTTCAGCTGCCACTCCTACCTCGTCGTGCACCAGAGGATCCACAGTGGGGAGAAGCCCTTCAAGTGCAACGAATGTGGGAAGGCCTTCAGCTCCCACTCCTACCTCATTGTGCACCAGAGGATCCACACTGGGGAGAAGCCCTTTGACTGCAGCAGATGCTGGAAGGCCTTCAGCTGCCACTCGTCCCTCATCGTGCATCAGCGGATCCACACTGGAGAGAAGCCCTACAAATGCAGCGAGTGCGGCAAAGCCTTCAGCCAAAACCACTGTCTCATTAAGCATCAGAAAATCCATTCTGGGGAGAAGTCGTTTAAGTGTAATGAGCGTGGTGAAGTGTTCACGTGGAGTGCCCACCTCACCGAGCACCAGAGAGCGCACAGCGAGGAGAAGCCCTTCGCCCTCCAGTTCAACAAGCACTTGCTGAGCACGTACTTCATGCCCAGCAGCTTGCTGTGCACGGGGGGCACAGGCGTGAGTGGCAGGGAGCCCATAGATGCGCTGGACGTGGCAGAGCTCCTGTGTGTGGTTCAGCCCTCGGCCAGCAGTAATTGCCCCCTGGGCAGCAAGCCTGGAAATTGACCTGGCACACTCGCCATCACAGTAGCCACCGTTGCCTCTCCCCAGGGTGAGTGGGGGAAGTGCAGTGGCTCATATGTGCAGACTGCTCCTCCCTCCAGATACCTGCAACTTGCCCTCTGGCCTGTGTGCAGATACCTTCTGGGACACCTCTCAGAGGCTGTCACCTCCTTAGGCAAGGAGACGCTGTAAGCCAAGAGAGCTGAGGGTCATTTGAGGATGCCCCTCATCCTGTTTTCCTTGATGGGTTTGGGAGTCAGTGACAAGGGACTAGATCTTTCCTGCAGATAAGAAGAAGCTCTGTCGATTGTTGTGTCTTCAGACAGCCTCCTGGCTTGATTTTCAGGAGGCATTTCCTCTGTAACGTGTGGTGTTTAGAATAATAATAATTTAAAAAACCCAGAAGAATTATGAACAGTATTACTTCCAAGTGAACATTATTCTGTTCCAGGAGGGGAGAATAATTTTGGATGGTGGGTGTTTGGGGAGAAGGCGCGTTTCCTGGGCTTGCGTCACTGAAGTAGCCCTACTGCAGAGTCCTTTGTTAGTGGCAGCGCAGCCGCCACCAAAGCAGAGGCCAGCATCAGAGTAGCCAGTCCTGATGTGCCAGCATCGTGCCTGGCCGTCCAGTGTGTGGGGGGATGTTGGGACCACTCGGGTGCCCAGTGTGTCCTGGGAAGATGGGTCCACGTCGGGATGGATGTATCTAGAAATGTGCCTTCCCCCTGGGCCAGTGAGGCTGCCTCGTGGGCCTCTCCATGCACCATCGAGCTCAGCTCAGCAGCTCAGCTCCACAGGAGGAGCGCTCCCCAGGGACCCACCCCACGCTCTCTGCAGAGATAGGAAGACCTGTTCCTCTGGGATCAATGTTACTGCTACACAGTTCTGAGCAAGTACAAGCTGCCTTCTCAGTGATAACACTTTACATTTGTATACAGTGCTATAGTTTATGAAATGCTTTTAGTATACTTTTTTAAATTATGGAGGCAAAATACCACATTTCAGAAAATGTGGAATTAAGAAAAGAATATGCCCATAATTCTTAATAAAACTGCATTTTTCACTTCAATACATTACCTTCTGCTTTTTTCAGATTGCATTTTTACATTACTTTAAACATAGCATATATATCATTTTTATCTTTTTTTTCCACTTAGCTTTGTAGCAGAATTTTTTCCCAAGTAACTCCAAATTCTTTATAATTCTACATGGAGGCATAGTATTCCATTAGATATTCTTTTGTTAGAATATACTGAAGTTATGTTTTCACTATTATAAATCATTCTTCATAGAGCATCTTTTTGCATTATATTTCTTTCTTTCTTTTTTTTTTTTTTATGCTGAGGAAGATTCGCCCTGAGCTAACAATTGTTGCCAGTCTTTCTATTTTGTATGTGGGTCACCACCACAGCATGGCCGCCGACAAGTGGTGTAGGTCTGTGCCTGGGAACCGAACACGGGTTGCTGAAGTGGAGCATGCTGAACTTGACCACTAGGCCACGGGGCTGGCCCCTGCATTATACTTCTTTAGTGTTTTGTTAGATTTCTAGAAGTGAAAGTTTTAAGATGAAGGAAATGAGCAGCTTAGGAATCATTTGAGTGTATTGTTGGTCATGTGATAACAGAGTAACACTGTTTCATTATGAAGAAACCAAGTGGCAACTCTGGTCAGGTGGGAGCATTCTGCACACGTCCATCTCCCAGAGACAGGCGCTGGTCAGAGCCGGGTGCCCACACATTCTTTGTTCAGGGCACGGTGACGACAGTAATGACCCTGGGACCTGCAGCTCCACTGCTTCCCTTCAGAGTGTCCACGAGCCGGCCTGGCTTGATGTGGTCCCCAGGGCCACATTGTGACAGTCGTGGGCTCTTCCTCTGTGACAAATAGGAAAAGTTCTATTTTACAACTGTGTTGGTAAAAGACAAATATAATCTAGGCTTTAGTCTTTGTTATCATATTTATTTTTCTTCTGATTTGGAAAGAAATTCAAATGGAAACTTCTCCGTGGGCCCGACTTGCCTGCTATCCGCCCTGCAGTGCTGCCCCTGGCTAAGGGTGCTTCCCCACGCGCCTCTGAGAACTGATGAGGGTGACCGTTGGATGGGTTTTTATTACTGGTCTTTCTTCTTGAAAATTATTTGAATATACCCTTTGCCCCTCTTTCTATTGGAGTCTTGATGTTTTTCTTTTATTTACGTATAAACTTTTTATGATTATACGAATAATATGCATATATTGAACAAATTCGAAAAAAAAAATCAGAAAATTGTAAGAATAAGATGACCGTCTGGGGGCCGGCCTGGTGGTGCAAGCAGTTAAGTGCGCGCGCTCCGCTGTGGCGGCCTGGGGTTCGCCGGTTCGGATCCCGGGCGCACACCAACGCACCGCTTGTTAGGCCATGCTGTGGCGGCGTCCCATATAAAGTGGAGGAAGATGGGCATGGATGTTAGCCCAGGGCCAGTCTTCCTCAGCAAAAAGAGGAGGATTGGCAGATGTTAGCTCGGGGCCGATCTTCCTCACAAAAAAAAAAAAAAGATGACCCTCGGTATCAGTTCATGGGTCGTGACCTGGAGATAGATTTCCTTCTGGTTTTTTCTGTGCATATACACATATGCTTTTTCTCTTAAAACAAAACTGGATTCATACTCTGCATGTCATTTTTATCCTTTTGCATTTAACATTTTATGATGAGCATTTTCCATGTTATAAAATATTTTTCAGAGATATTATTATGGCTACATCATATCTTATAATTGTATCATGATTTACCTGTTCCTTTATTGTTGAACATCAGGATTATCTGTACCTATAAATGACTCTGGAACATAAACCTGTGTGCCCGTCTGTGATTATTTCCTCAGAGTAAATTCTGAGAAGCGGAGTGAGCGGGCAGAGGCCATGAGCTTGTCGAAGCTGTTGGTGTTTCCAGATTGACCCCAGCACTGCGCTCCTCGTTCCCGCTCTCCCCACGGCCCTGCGAGTGGCCCTTACTGCACCCCTGCCAGCACTCAGCAGCGGCTCCTCGCTTTCTGTACTTGCCGTTTTCACAGATTAAGAATGTCATTTGTTGGTATTTTTTTACCTTTTTTCCCTTCGTATGAATTGTCCCTGTCTTTTGTCCACTATTCCATTGAGTCTTGTTACATACACACACACACACACACACGTATATACATATACACGTACACATACATATACACACAAACACACACATACACACACATATGTATCACCTTGGCATACATTTTCTATGTGTTACCGTATTTTTAATGAAATGAACAAAGGTTTTCAAATTCTGTGTAATTAAGTCTATTCAATTTTTTCTTTGTATTTTTCCTTGGCCCTTAGAAAGCCCCTACCTTGGCCCGCCCCGTGGCTTAGCAGTTAAGTTCGCGCGCTCCGCTGCTGGTGGCCTGGGTTCAGATCCCGGGCGTGCACCGACGCGCCACTTCTCCGGCCATGCTGAGGCCACGTCCCAAGTACAGCAACTAGAAGGATGTGCAACTATGACATACAACTATCTACTGGGGCTTTGGGGAAAAAAATAAAATTATTAAAAAAAAAAAAAAAAGCCCGTCTTGAGTTGTATTTTGGTTCCATATGTTACATTTAACTCTTAGATCCCTCTAGTTGGGATATAAAATTCAGGATCCCTGCATCATTCTTGAATTGTATTCCTCACTGTTACGTAGACCTGTCTTTTCCCTTTGTAGCTTCATAATTTACTTTAATATATGGTAGGACCAAGACTACATTTTTAGTAGGTTTTTAAACATTTATTTTTTTCATCTATTCTTCCAGGTAACCCAGGATTATTTTCTCAGAACTCAGCCTCTTCATGCCCCTGCATATCTCGGGGATTTTGATTAGAATTGACTAGTTTGTGAAGAATTTAATAGAGTTCTATGCAATATTAAGTCTTCACATCAAAGAATGTAGTAGATAACTGTTTATTCAGATCTACCTCTAACCATCAGAAAAGTTGTATAGTTTTCCTCATATATGTTCTTAAATTTATTCTTAAATTCATTCTAATTTTGTGGGGTTTGTAAATCAGGTCTTTCTGTTATAAGATATATAGAACAACTGTTGATTGTATGTATCTTTTTGTATATTTATTTTATACCTAGCAACTTTACTGAGTTATTCTAAGACAGCCTCTAACAGTTTATCAGTTTATTGTGTTTTCTAGGTATATACCTATATCACTTGGAAATAAAAAGCTTGCCTCTCCTTTTCATATGGATAGCCTTTTATTTCATTTCTCTTTAAAACCCACGTTGGCTAGCCCTTCCAGAGCAGCACTCTGTGTTGGTAGCTTTGGTCATCTGTGGTAGACGCGGTGAGGTCAGGGACCAATGTGTGTCCCCCTCAAAATATGCTGCCCTCTAATGCTCCGTTGCAGCGGGGTGGCCACACGGCCCAGCTGTGACTGCTGAGGCTCAAGGAGAAGTCTGCTAGAGATTTTAGGAAAGTCTTTGCTTTTCTGATAGAACTGTTCCTTCCTCCGCCCCTTCTCCTTCCTGCCTGGAACTTGGATGCACTGCCTGGAGGTGTAGCCATCTCGCAACCATGAGACAATTGAGGACAAAAGCCACACCAAGTGGGTTGGAAAAATAGAAGGATCCTAGGCCTTGGATGAAATTTTTCAGCGGCTGTTTCAGCCACCAACATTCAACTCCCTGAGTTCTCGTTATGTAAGAAAAATAAACAGCAGCGTTCCACTCATCGTTCTCACGGTTGTTTCACTCCTCACTGGCACAGCGTCTGGGTCTTTATTCGGACTTGAAGGGAGCAGATCTCCTGTTTCACTATTAGGTGAAATGCTGACCCCTGACTATGACTGATCGTTTATCACGTTAATGAACTATCTTTACAGGCCTAGTTTGCTAAGACTTAGAAAAATCAAGACTGGATGCTGAATTTTACCAAACATCTTCTTGGCATACCTCAAAAATAATTATATAGGCTTCCTTCCTTGTTATGGAGATATAATTGGATTTATAAAAAGATTTTCTAACATTAATTTATCTTCATGTTATTGGAATAAACCCCATTTAG